TAATTTTTTGAAGTTGTTCAACGAACGAAAAATTCACCAAGGTAATGTACTCCTTCGAAAAAACACCTTTACAATCGCTAAATTAGAAGATTTTCCAGGATCACGCTTTATGTAGTTTCATTTTGACCTGATTTGGTGTTTCGAAAAGAAAAACTGCAAAAAAGTTGAAATATAGATGAATAAAACAAAAAATACAACTGCAGTCCACATGTGGACTGCATGGTCGTCAATGGGTTAACCAGTTTGGCTATGCACACTAACGCGTGCAGTATATGTCGACGGCCACTTATCCATGATGGAGTCATTCAGCAGAATTTTGGATAATCAGAATAAGATAGTTCTCTCTAGATTCGATCGCATTCGAGCAGAGTTATTAGTGGTTGACCATAGCTCCGTCCACCTTAGTGCAAACCCTTCCCACTATAAACTTGACCACCCTTCTTTTGGATGCCCCTAACCATTTTTTCCGCATTTTAGAAAGTTTTCGAAGGGATGCACTCTTTGTCCCAGCCCCGCTTTCCTGTGCCAGCTCCGCCCATTTTTGGAATTCGTTATCATTTGTTCCATAACCTCTTACCACTTTTTCCCCGCGTCCTAGAACGTTTCTGAACAAAGTTATGAAATTTTGGTCTAAGCCCCGCCCACCTTGGTGCCAACCCCGCCCACTTCGAGAATTTGGCCGCATTTGTTCCGTTACCTTTTCCCACTTTACCCCGCGTTCTAGAACGTTTCTTAACAGAGTTATGGAATTTTGATCTAAGCCCCGCCCACTTTTGTGCCAACCCCGCCCACTTGGAGAATTCGGCTACATTTGTTCCATTACCTCTTACCACTTTTTCCCCGCGTTCTAGAACGTTTCTGAACAGAGTTATGAAGTTTTTGTCCCAGCCGCGCTTTCCTGTGCCAGCTCCGTCCATTTCGGGGATCTGATCACATTTGTTCCATTACCTCTTACCACTTTTTCCCCGCGTCCTAGAACGTTTCCGAACGAAGTAATACTCGTCTTTGAAAGTAGCTTTCACCTCAACGCACGCCCCTCCCATCGTGGGCGGGGCTTCGCTCAGCTTACGCATGTCCAGCACGCACAAGGCCCTGCTCACTCTTTTTGCTTTTTTCCTGGCTTCGACGCCTTCGTTGAATCGAGTTATGAATCTCTATGAAAAGTACCGCCCACTGCGAGAACGCTCCGCCTACCCCCGGTAAGCTTCCTTTATTTTAGTTGTTGACCCATCCCTCACCTTTGCACATTTTTTCCCGGCGTCTGGACTGTTATGAGACCGAATTAAAAGAATTAGCCCCTGACCTCGCCCAATTCCGGCGCATACCCCGCCCCATGGGGGCGAAGCTCCGCTGAGCTCACATGTGCTCTGTTGCACTTACCCTATGCTCAACCTATTCCAAACTTGACCCGACTTCTCCAGGTGTTTCTTCAGGTTATATCGAATTTCCGTACAAACAGACAGAGAGATAGACAGACAGAGCGCTTTATATACATATATGTTATAGTAAGGATCTTTTTGAGCTCATTCAGCTGACTGACCATGAGCTCCCAAATCAGTTGTTGTTTTCTCTCTGAAACAAATCCACCACACAACTTCTCATACCAACCTGTCGATGTCGATGTCAAGCATGTGAACCTTCACGGTTTTATCGGCAGCTTCTTCGATAGCTCTAGTAACTCCACTTAAAACATCAGGCGTAACCGTATCACGCTCCTCCTCGATACCTTGCTCTGTAATAGTACCTTCCGACACGGTGGTCGCGTCTGCTTCTAAATCAGGTCTGTGTTGCCAAGAAAATGCCTAGGTAAAGCGCTACTCGCTCAAAATGTTTGGTAGTTTTATCAATTTAATTTAATAGCGTCACCTTCATGCTCGTGATCATCATTCATTGAGCCATGCTTTTCCGTCACATCATCTTCAATCTCTTCAGCTTGATCAGTTGGCAGATAGTCATCTTCTGGTGTATCATCAACTGAACTAGGAGAAATTGAAATGGTTATGAACCCGAGAAGTAGATTTTATCACCTCACCTTCCTCACTTTTATACTCCCAGTTGATTAGGTCTGGAGGAACACCAATGTCGTGTTCGTCTCTATGTCCGATTGTCGTGCTACTGACGTCTGCCTCACTTCTTGAAGAATCCATTCGTTCTTCCTGTTCTTTCATCGCTGCCATCTGTCTCTGTTCGGCTTCGGCTCGGCGTCGTTGCTCTTGATCACGAATACGCTGCTCTTCCTGATGACCCATGTTGTGACGTTGCTGCTCTTCCCGTGCACGCTGCTCCTGCTGTCGTCGTCGTTCCTCTTCACGTCTTCTAGCTGCAATTCTGCGAAGTTCCTCATCTCGACGACGCAACTCCTCGATCCGTTGATCTTCGGCGGGATTTCTACGTTGGTCTTCGTAAGGATTTCTGGTTGCTACTGGCATGACACCAACTCGTCTTCCTTCTTCGATTCGCCGTCTTTCGGCCTCTAATCGCCGCTCATAGTCACGACGACGTTGTTCTTCCCTTTGTCGTTCGGCCTCAATCCGCCTCATGTCATAGTTGACCACTGAAAAGGTTAGTAAAGGCTTGAGGCAAGGAATCATCAACCTCGACAGCAAGGTATCGAGTATTGTTATTATTAGGAAGAAGAATGAAGCCGACGATATGATTGGTTTCCTCAAAAAGACTTTCGGATCCAAATGAATTGGTGTGTTCGAGGATAGCTCGGAATCGGACAGTAATTCATTGCGTACTCAAATTCAATAATTTCAAGTATCCGTTCACATCTGAGCTTTAGTTTTGAAAAGCGATGCGGCTCCAGAGGGCTTTAATGAGCGGTAATCTTGACCCGGAGAAATCTAATTCGCTCACAATCATTTAAGATTCAAGCTGATCGCCGATAAACAGAAAAGGTGTTTTGACCTATGTTGGACCCGATCTGATGGCTCATAACCAAAGTTTAACGATAGTTCAACATGGCTACACTGACATGCTGGTTTCAGGATCTCAGTTACCATCCTCAAAGGTTCCTTTTCAGGCCAACCATGATACATTACGACCCTACTCTTCTGGAGTTCCCATTCCTGTTTAATTACATATCACCAAAACAATCCGAGAAGAGAATTTCAGAAAAATGTCTAACAGGCAGTGGATAGCAGAGAACAAGTTTTTTTGCAATGATCGCAAAGTCGGATTCTGTCCACTTAAAAAAAAACCGGAAAATGTTATATTTAAGCTAAACAGTGCAGATCAGCTACCTTTTGCCCAGGAAACTACTGCCATAAACATGAATTGTGGCTCGTGTCACTTTCGAAAAAATAAACAGATGAAATGAAGTAAAACTGTGACTCACTTGGAGTGGGAGGTGGCGGTGGTGGTGCCTGTTGTTGTGTTTGTTGCACTATCTTCCGAGAAACTCCAACTGAAACATTTTTTGATTCTGTGGAAGTTGAACAGACGAGGAGTCTTTGAGCGTTGTATGTCTTTATCCTATACCTTTGATTTCCCCCTCCCCTCTATCCTTTTCCCTTATTCCGGGCCCGTCATTTTGGTTCCCGATCATTTATGGATTTAGACTAGTCTTCTCATCAATGATGGTATATGTTCTTAACAGTTTTTCAATCGAGTTGACGATTTTGAAGGGTAGGGCGAAATGTTTCTGTGCAGGAAATTTGAGCAGCAGCAAAACTTTTAGAACAGAGGTGTGTTGTTATACACAGCTGTTGTAGGGCTTGTCAAAAACAAATGAAGTTCAGCTAGTCATGAGTATCACGATGACTAATCATTACATTTCGCTCGAAAAAAAAACTGCAAGCAGTCAACAGCCCAAAACGTGGGCGAGTTTGACGTTTAAATAGGAATTGTAACTCAGTTTTGTAAAGTTTCAGCCACTGCTTCTGTAGGATGTACTAGTTCCTATCTCCGTCCACAGTCTATGCAAGGAACTATCTCGATGGTAGCTTGAAAGTGGCTCTGCTGTGCGAAGAAGTTGTGGGAGCTCTGTATAATGCGCTGAAGGCCAAAACCAGGGAAATTTCATTTTGAAAACTAGAAACAACAGAAAAAAAGCTAAGCAGAATCAAACTCACCTTCGTATTGGCATCGATCACCCTCGTAAACGCCCATCAAACAGATACATGAATGAATATTCGGATTTTCAAATGAGAACGCGCACATGCCACCATTTTCGCATCTGAAAATGATGTTTTTGAAATCTCTTAATACTGTAATATTATAGTGATCAATATAATAGTGTTGAAATGTCTTTTAAAAATTCGGGAGAAGAAACCTATCTCTGCTTTTGCTCTGTCTTTATCAAAAGTTATTAAAGAAGTTAGGCCTACCACGCACATATTGTTCTCAAGCACCTTCAATCTCGTCCACCATAGGGCTTGGGGACAAAATGTGCTGAATATTACTGGAAATGCAAAAAAATATCTGGGAGAGTTCCCAAGAGTTCAAATGTATTTCTTCCCTTTTGAATTCTAGCTGACCTTCAAATAATTACGGCCAATATACAATCTCAGCTAAAAGAGAGGACAGCTTCTCTTTTAAAGAGCGATTCTTAACAGAAAATTGAAAAATGACATGAATTTCTCATCTGAGCTCCAGTTAGCCCCAAGACCAGGATGTTTAAAACGGGTATCTAAAACCTCCTAGATAATTTCCTACACATTGAGTTGCAATTGAAGCACGGTCTGAATTTCAGGTCTGGCTGTAAATTCGAGCTACGATGATTAGTTTTCGAATGCGTGATGCATAAAAAGGAAAAAATGAAGTGGCTCGACACTTGAATTTTCTCTCAATATCAACAGAGAAAAGGTTAGAGTGCATCTTTTTCCTCCAGCTGACAACCTTCCGATTCCCTCAGCCAAAATTTTTTGCTAAAATGCTCCTGATATTCCCTGAAAAAGTAATCTCCCACCATTTGAGCAAATCGTATTGGGGACACTCAAGAGGAATGTTCTCCATTATATTCTGTCTAGCACGTTTTTCATAAACAGAGACTGATAATAAATCAATTGAGGCTTTCTTGATATCGGATTTCATCCGCGGTACACTCAAGCCATAATGACTTCAACAACTGCAATGAGTAGGTGTTTTAATTAAGAGCGGAGAAGTTCTCAAAATAAGGTTTTCTAGCATATACGCTCTAGGACCAGAGCGTCTATTCAATATTGAGGATACAGATTGCGCAGGAAAATTGTCCCTTTACCATTGCTAAAAGTGTAGTTACATATGTATCAACTACTAGGTCATTGTCCGTTGGGTAACAAGTCATTCTTCTTGTAATGGGTCCTTATCATCATCGTCGTATTTTTCCTTCACCCTCATACTATGTAACTTTGTCAGTAACCTATCCTTCAACTCAAACTGGCTCTTGAACTGGCTTACGAGACATCATTATACAGTATGAATATTATCAAAGGTAATGATGAATACCGTTGGTTACTTACCGTATATTGCATGCGCTTTGGGGATTGACAAGTCCATGACCACTTAATGCCTCAGTTGTTGAATCCAAGTAAAAAACAATGAATAATGGCAGTAACACATCGTAGACAGGCCGCATTGTAAACCAAGCGGCACTCGGTTGTGGATCAACGTAGACGATAGTTTTTGAAGATCGTTCTGGAAAAACTTAGCAATAACAAAGGACCGTGATGGTGAAAAGAACGAGGTTGGAAGGAGGTCTATGAGCTCGCGGCGATCTGATTCGCTCAAACTACCGCAAAAACAGCACAGTTGTCTCGTGTGGTGGGGGTGAGGAATGTGGAACGAGGGACAAGTGGTGGTGAGTGACTGAGTGGCAGTTACGCCCGGTGGATATAATTGTTTGTGAGATTTTGTCGCACACGGAAACGGCAAGGATGGAAAGAACAACTTTACAGAGTGACGGCTTGGGTGATATGAGCAGAAGAGGAACAAGGTCAAGAGGAACCGTACGACACAATCCGGCAAAACCCTGCAGAAACCACTCATTTCTTCCATCCAAACTGCGAGAACAGGGTAATGGGTGATAGCTCTGAAAGGCATGCCGTGCAGTGAGACAACTAGTTAAAGCGAAAAATTGAATCATGCGAAGCGAGACAACTGGTCAGAAATCTCGGTGTAAGCGGATCACGAATAACGGCACACACTCGGGCGAACCAACAAAAGTGCCATACCTTTACCCTCAACATGAATTTGTGTCATAGTGGTTATTTTCGAACATATGACCGTTTGGTTGGTCAGTCGTGTGTAGTAGCACGCACTATCACATTTGCATGGTCCGGGGATCGAATCTCAGATCGATACTCGCCACGGCCAAGCATGCCTCTCATCCTTTGGGAACGGTTGTATCTTACTAGACCTATCTGGGAGGATAAGAGCTTTAATTTGTACAATGGCTGGCCGCTGCCAAGCCAAGTCACTCTGTGTATATCTAACATGCATTCAAACCGCCACAACCGTTCTGGTGGACAACGAAAGCTGAGGCGCATCCCAAAACGGGATTGATTGATGCTAAACTTTCAATTTCTTTATTTGTGGCCGTTTCCCTCTACTCTTCAGAATGCTTCGAGGCACTGGTTCGTGGGAGGGGGATGAAAAAGGATGACCGGATGGTTCACCAGAAGCTATAGTGAAAATAGTCTGCGCCTTCTCGCTTGACTTTCATCTATCCCTCCACACCTTTCAGGAAGTACTACTTTCAATTGCGAGACCAGCGTGGCATGACCTAGATCTGATCCTTTTGACCCTTCCGGTGGCGTAGCATCTCTTTCGACTGCCTTCACCTTGTTCGGAGCTACGTGACAAAAAGGTTAAAGCCAAATTGAAGGAACGCTAAGTTTAGGAATGACAGGTGCTAGGGAAGTAAAACAAAAGGGATGAAAAAACAATGAAACGTTGTCGGAGAGCTAGAAAAAACTGAGAGAAGAAAAAGAATGCTCATAAAAACGAGGAGTTGGAGGCCGAGCCTCTGAGGTACACTCAGTCCTTGCATTACAGCACGAAAATTCGAGAAAAAAAGATGGAAGTGCATTTGGATGTTTTACAAAATGAATAGCTACATCCTTAATTAACAATGTCTTCCTTCGGTGATAGGCTTCCATTTTTCTTCGAAACTTTCTAATTTTGATTTTTGTATATTTAATCAAGCGTGGCGCATCGTGGGGCGTGCGGTAAGTGGGAGGAGGAGGATTAGTGATCAGCATTAGGTTCAACATCACAGCATCTGTTCCATTGTGCCCACTTATCCGGAAAAGTTCTTTCGTTCTTTGAACGCCAGTCGGATGCTGATAATGAATTTCAAAACTTGGATTTTGTTGTTTATTTTTTTCTAGTTTTACTTTTCGGAATCGAAATTAGTTTGAAGCTGAGCTGCTCGACTATTAGACCCCATAACTATAAAACTGAGTGGTCAAACTATACATTCAAAGTCCCTAGGAAGCTAGTGTGACTTCGAGCGCATGGCCCAACCCAATTAAAAATCGATGGTATTTGTAGATTTCTGTGACATGCGATGATGTGAAATTTATCCAATGGGAAGCGTAAAGTGAAGACTTAATAGCGAATTCGCAATGGACAATGAAATGTTTTGCCATTTGATTTTCACTCCTCTCTATCAAGTTTGTTCTGATCCCTCGCCAGAACATCTGCATTTCAATTTCTCAGATCCTATCGAGGAACTGTCTAAGATAGCCTGGTGAAATTTTATTTTAAAGCTCTACCTATAGGAGTCTCATTGATGGAACAATTTAATTTGCAGTGAGAAGAAGACAGAGGCACAGTCCACGATAATTTTTAAGTACCCTTCTTTAGTCAGAAAGCGGAAATCTTGGTTGGGAGTAGTGCATCGGTGGTGAGGACAGCAAGAAAATCCGGCGAAATTGCGAAAACAAGGCTATTAGAAAGGAGTGAAAATAGAGACTGTACGAGATACCATGACGGAAATAAGATGGAAGGGGTATTTGAACGAGATTTCAGTAGTTGCAATCGCGCAAAGAGCTGACTAACTCAAGCCAGGACTCCAGAACTACCTTTCGCTGTAGCTATGGTCATGACAAGTTGTTGAATATTCAATATTGGAGTACCTTGAGATAGTGCAGCCTCTGCAATGTCGTCTGCGCATACACACGCGACAATCTTTGAACCTTTATAACCCTTTATCTAGACCATTTTCCGACCTGATAATTAAAAGTGTGGCGTATTGAGAGGTTACCGATTTATCCTAGTGAGATATCTCATAAGCTTATTTTTATCGCGAACTGTGCCTTTAAAATTCCCGATTTTTCTAAATATATGATCATTAGCTCCATATGGAAAATTCCAGAAATTGACTTTCAGAGAAGCCCTCGGCTACTCTAGCTGTCGCCTCTAGGATTGCCATCTATCGCCATCAAAATGACTTGGTGACTGAAGCAAATTTAGCGTCTTCGAACAGCCGTGGACCTGAGGTGGGTCGGTTTACATTTAGTAGACATTTTTAGTAGTTCATAATTTATTATTTCAAAAGTGTGTTTTTTGTATTTGTTCTAGTTAATTTTTGAAGGTCGATCTCTAAACATCAAATGGCAATTCCTATCTACCGTACATACTTACAATCAGTATATCCATATACCTCCGCTTGAGCTTATGTACCGTCTTGAACTTGAGGACGTGGCGCACTCTAACATCATAACATGATCACCTTGTCTCCCTTCAAAGGGCAGGAAAAGAGTAAGGGAGTGACTGGACAAGATGAAAATAGGATGGGGCTGTACGAACGTGATTCCTTTTTTGGGGAGGCAATATTCTTGCCAAAAACAACTGTGTGGTTAGAATAAAAAACCATTGGAGATGAATCCAAAAAACTTCATAAGGTACGACCATATGACCTGACTGCACCAAGAAAATGAATTTGTTTCCGGTAATGAGACACTGAATTCGAAAGGAATCCGATAACGAAAATGATTTCACTCACAAAAGATTGCCGGAAAATGAGAAAACGAATGAGTAATTCGTTTACAGCCTGTCAGGCTGAGTCATTCCTCAACCGAACGAAAATTGTATAGTAGAGTTTTCGGAGAAAAAGAAACGACGTCTCATGTACTTTGGAGATACGACTTAACGCCCCGTGGAGTATGCACTGAGGTCGACATTTGTCATATTAGCAGACAATGCGGTCGAGTCGCGGCCACAACTAGTGACTTGCC